TTAGGGCCGAACCCTCTTAGAGCCGAACCCTCTTAGAGCCGAAACCCTAAGAAGCGAAACCCTAAGAAGCCTCCTAGATCGAACTTGCAAGGACCGAAACTTCTGGAGAACCGAACTCGCATAGACCGAACCGAACTACCCTTCGCTTCTAGCCTACTTCGCCTTCGGCCTCTTCCGTGTTCGCCTGCGAGACTGCTCGGACCGAGCCCTCCTCTCGGTTCTAATGCATCAAGCGAACCTACCTTCGGTTCTAAGCTCCTAAGACCGAACCTCCGGCCCTGAGTTCGCAGATTCGCAACTTTTACCCGGTTTTCGACCACGACTTCGTTTTAAGCCCGTTTTTCATGATTTTAACGTGGATTTTCACCAAAATCCATATTTACCATTTAAAAACCCCAGAACTCTTATTTTAATTATTTTTCAAGTATTTATTAATTAAAATGGCTTAGATTACCAAGTGGGTCAAGTGTGCCCACTTGCCCTTCCATGTGTCATCCTCTCATTTGCCACCTTATCCACATCACACAAACCAAGGCACACATCACTTCAAACTCTCAAGTTGCTCCAGCAACCTTCTATATAAAGAAATCCTTTGAGGATTTCTTGATTTACTTGCTCATTTCAAACATACACACACTTCTCATACCACCTCAAGAAAGCTTCTTTTCTCTCAACTTTCAGCCACACTTTTGATGTATTATTGAGTCATTTATTCACTTATTGGTAAGTATTTCCTTCTAACTCAAGTGTTATTACATGTTTTCATAACTCTCTTGGATCAACGACTCATATCTTCACACCAAAAATCGTTCTTAGGATCATCCAAAACTTCGTGTGTTCATCAAGTGATCTAGACTTGAAAACTCATCATCTTCAACCTTCCACTCTTCAAGAAATCACTCAAGGTGAGTTCATACCCCTACATTTTCTAGTTTTCTTCAGTTTTCAGGGGGGAATACAAGTTAAAACACCAAAACATATTCAAAACTCAACTTGACAGCTTACAACAGAAAAGTTGTGACCCGTTCACGAACTGTTTTACCCAACTTAAACTTAATATCTTTCAAAACTGTATAATATGCAAATAGTTCAGGTTTATACCTTTAAAATGACTACTTGCACATCTCCATATAATTTTTCTACGATTTATGGTGATTTTTACAAAACTGCCTAGCATTTCAGAAACGAATTCGGACCAGTCTGTGATTATGAACACTTTCACATAAGTTAGAGGCTTCTAAAAATCATAATAAAAATTATGAATAAACTAGACACATTTTCTAAGCTCTCAGAGTTTACGGAGTTAGTTTTCGACTTCGTATGATTTTTCTATGATAATTTCAAAACAGTGCAGAAAGGATAAAAATTAGTTGCATAGTTTACCATATTAACAACACTTTGTATTATGTTGAGCAAAGTGCATAACAATAAGTTTCTCAATGTTTGGATGCATTCTTGTTAGTTTATCATCATAAACAGAAATTAGTCATTCATGTTAAGGATTTTCCTCCATTCATTTCGAACACATCTAATAAACTACATTAAGTATAGTTTATGAATTTTCGATAAAAGCATACTACATGGAAAAGGTTTTACTCTCAAAACAAATGGGTTTTTCATATACTACTTGATAAACTATAATAGTAATAGTTTATGGATTTATATCACAAATGTATTTTCATAAAAGGTGATTTCACTTCCTCCACGGAAGAGGTTTTATACTCAAAACTATATGTAAACTAGTTAACGTAAGTTGTGAGACATTCTCCTTCGGGGTACTCTTAAGTACCACAGAAAATCCTGAATTAGTTATAACCAGAGTCTCTTGTAAGGAGAGCGTGATAATTGTGTATAGATATATATTGGGATTGACAACCCACACCCACGCTGCTTGCATAAGTCCGATCGGCTGATCGGGGGTGACGAGTGTCATTTCGATTCCGACGCCTGAAGAACGTCGCAAGCAGGTTATTCTGTCGTAGTATGGTTATAACGACTCACATAGGGAGTTAACAATCTTTCAAGTTTACATGAAAAATTCTACTTTGAAAAGGGGTTTTACTTCTAAATTAAACGAGTTTATGCCGATTTAAACTTGCATGAATTACTCTAAGTATGGAAAAATACTTGTAGATTCTCGGTCTTGACGCTTAAGGCTACATGACTTTTTATAAGGAAAATATTGGATTTTCTTTGGAAACACATTTCCATTATGAACATTATAAGCACAAAACACACACATACTCTCTGTCTTAACAATTAGGACTACATGACTTTTATAAGGAAAATATTGGATTTTCTTTGGAAACATATTTCTATCAAAACTACATTTCATCTAGAATTGTTAGACTTCAGCTATAATTGCTAAGTGTATATGCTAGAGTTATATAAGAATCTAGTCGAAATCGACCTAGAATTGGTGGGCCCGCCTTACTTCCTGTTCCTTGTTTAGTTGTGGACCTATGGCAAACCCATTATATTGACGGTTTATTTAAATTAAATTTTATATAACTTATATACACTGGGTGATTATAGAAGGAATCTACGGGTCTTTCTAGGGTACATTATTGCATAACATAGGAAAATATTAAATTTTCTAGAATCATATTCTATCGCTTTCTACAAGGAAAACGACTTCTTTCTCAAATAAAACTCTTATGAACTCACCAACTTAATTGTTGACGCTTTTTCAAACTACTTGTATTCTCAGGAATTCAGTGAAACAGGAAATCAACCGCTTTTGAGGATGGGACGTTAAATCGCCAAACATTTCATTTTTATCATCATAAGTGTAATTGATTGGAAACAAGTAAACACATACTATTGTATAACTTTTTCAATTATATTTATGATGGTTGTATTTACTTTGGGCACTATTATACTCGTTGTTGTGATATTATACATGAAGTCCTCCACCCCCGGACGTTTCCGCCATCCTTGGTTTGGGGGTGTGACAGTTTCTTTTTCTGCTTCTCCGGCCAGACAATAAACGAGGAGCATTTCCCCATCGTTTGTGTTGTTGGATCTCTGGTGGATCTACAATCGATGTCTGAGCTAAGGTTGAAGAGAGAGAGAGAGAGAGAGAGAGAGAGAGAGAGAAGGATCATTTATGTACAAAAAACAAAGGGCATATTCGTCATTTACAATTACTTAACAGAATCTGTTAACAGAGTTAGTCATAAGGGCCTTTTACGTGCAAGGTTTGCTCCGTAAGGACCATCTCAGGGAAAAAAGTTTCGTAGGGACCATCTCAGGGAAAAACTATAAAGTTAAAGGATCATCCGTGTAATTTGTTCTTTTTTTTTGTTTTGAAAGGAAGCCCAAATTGGGAAAGATTCCTTATTTTTCTTTTATTTTCTTTTATTTAAAGACCTGAACTTCCAAGACTAATAAACGACGGGTCCAAGACTAACCTATCTAAAAAAACGGAAGCAAAGTTGTATAAATATCATTTTTATATTAATTACACATTTCTAATTATACAATATCCAATTTCTTCTTTTTTGTTCTTTCATTAAATTTTAGTTTATCATTTTTAGTAAATGATCGGTCCAAGTCCAATATATGACGCAATACATTCTGAGACCAATACATGACCAGTCCAAGACAAACCCCAATACTAGTCTCAAAATAGACAAAGAGCCAAAATTTGTATAAATATCATTTTGTATTCATTACACATTTTCTGATTTTTTTTCTTTTATTAAGTTTAGTTTATCAATTTTAGTAAATGTTAATATATAAATTTTGGAGTTAATCACCCATTTGTTTATGGAAAAACTCAAAACCGCAACCGAACCAAAAAAGACAAAGACCACAAGAACAGATCGTTAGTAAAAGACAGATCCAAGACAGTCCGAAAATGACCGATCCGAAACCGTCAATGTGCATCTTAAATGGGTAGTCTAAGGCTACCCGGTATTGGGTAATCTCATGTGTCTTGGGCTGATGTGGCAGCCTCTCCCACGCGTGAACACCGCCCTCAAGTCCGGTGGGCTGCGTGTGGCGTGAGGCGGAAGACGGGCGAAGACGAGATCGTTGATTGGCTATTCAATTTCGAACGTTATATGCAGACCGTTTGAGCATAATAATAATAATAATAATAATAATAATAATAATAATAATAATAAACTTTTTTTTTTATTTTTTCAAATTCTGTATATATACATTCACTTTATCTATAATTTCCACTAAACCACACCCACATTTTTTCAAAACAAACACGTACGTTAAACCAAAAAATGGATAATTTTCCACCTCCGATTTCTTCGTCTTCCGATGATAACGATTTTGATGAAGATTTGATTTTGTATACGCTGTTATCCGCGGCACGAGACGTGACGACGAGGCGGATGATGCCAGTGACGACAACGACGACGATTAGAATTATTCTATGTTTTTTTTTATGTTTTTTAATTTTTATTTTATTTAGACAATGTAATGTTTAATTTTAGTAATTTAAGTTTTAAATTTCTATGTTTTTAATTAATGAAATGTGGTTTTATGTTTTTATGTTTTAAAAAATTAATATATGTTATAAATTATGCTTTTTAATTAATATAATGTTCAAAAAAAATAAAAAAATTAAAAAAAAAATTTGTGGAGTGATAACCATTTCCAATGTTTAGTGGGTTGATGTGAAGCTGACGTGACACACATGTGGCAGCACTTTTCGGTGGGGTGGGTGTGACCACTCCCCAAAGCCTATGAATGGACCCATTATATTAAACCATAACTAAAGCCGTGATGCAGTAAATATGACAAGACTTTGCAAGGCCTATTATATTGATTATTTGGAAAGCAATGGTCTTCCATGAGACTTTTAAGCTACCCTTGGCACCATAAGAAACTTCACTTAAGTTTTGCGATCTTTGTTGTGATAGAGCAGCATAAAGAGAGAAGATTGTTTAACCTTTCATTAATATTGCAAACTTACATCCACTCATCCTCACGCACCCTACAAAATTCATAACAATCCTCCCCCCCCCCCTACAACCCACCACCCAACACTTTTGTATATTTCCACAAAATAACGCTTATACCACTAATATATATTCTCTATCAATTTCAACTTTCTATAAATAACTACTCTTTGGTCTTTAACCTTAACTTTCTTCATATATTTTTTTTCCCATACAAACTAAATATAATTCATGTAAGAAACAATGCCCACTTATATTTCACAACTTTTGGCATTGTCATTCTCAACAACTTCAACAACCGTAGCATTGCAGAAGAAGCACCTTTCACAATTGATGAGATGCCGGTTTATGCACCCAAAACACGAAACATGCGTGCATGGCAAGAACTTAGCATCTGCTTCACAACTGTAGCAAATGCAACACACGTTCTCATCACTCTCTGCTTCACCTCCTCCTTCATAGCTCACCCTCTTCACTGTTCTCAATATTAGATTGCTAGAAAAATCCTCCAGTTGCCTCAGTTTCGCTTTCGCCACATGTAAATCACCCTTAAAGCTCCCCGCCTGCCACGTCATCAAACAATGTCAAATTACAATAAATCAAAAAAACCTTTACACGCACACACACAGAGACACAAACACTAACCCAATTGAACTCAAGGAGATATTGGAAACCAGAAATGAGAGTATCAGCACAATCCATGCTTGCGAAAATGCCCACAATATCATTCTGTTCTCTGCTGTTTACAAGACTAGCATCCAACAAATTTAAAATGATACCAACTAAAGGAGCCAGAATCATGCCTCGGTTGACTTTCTCCGGGGTTTGACCAGGTCTTCTAAGTGTTCTGTACAAAGTAGAAACACAATTAATTACATATTGGAAGAGTACAGAAATGATGGAATATCTGAAAATTTTAGGAGACTTACAAGTCGAAGAATTCAGGGTCAGCAACTGAGGTCAAATGGTTGAGAACAAAGACAATCAGTTCTACTAATCTGCGCAAGTTCGTATCTGCCCCTGACAGAAAAGCTTGAGGGATTTCACATGTGCAAAACTCTAGTACCCTTGCTAGGTTGCTTGACAGATCAAATATAACACTGCATTTCCTTTGTTGAAACTCTATCATCTGCAAAAGGGCATTTTGGTCATTTTGACAATTATATATGGCTGTTTTTGTGAGTCCATATAATTTGTACCTGACACTTTTCTTGCATTTCCCGAATGGAAACTGAGAACTCTGTCATTGACCAGCTGAGGGTATTGAAAAGACGATTGAGGAATGCTGAAAATAACTCTTCGTCTTTGACACAAGCATCACGTAATAGTTTCTGTCAAAATATATAAAATCAATAAACTAATTTGCTTATTGGAATTACTAAATAATAGATACAAAATATAATAAATTTACCTGAAAGATGCTAGAAGTCACTGAAGACTCTCCATGCTTTGAAAATCCAAATCCACAACCTTTACATAACCGAATAAGTATATTGGTTACAGGAATCCATGATCGATTATCAAATGCTGATAATAATGCTGTTGGGAGACTATGAGTGGCTGCTTTATTGCTCTCAAAAGCAGCCAAAAACTCCTTGTATTGAACCAATACAGAAATCGACTGCAAAAGTAAGTCTCTTAATTCTGCACTTGATATCCTCGGGTCACTGAAATGTGTCGCCACAAAAGTAACCTAAACAATACAAAATACCAAAAACATTATTTTATTTAACTTTTCATATTCTAAAAAGGAAAGAAAAAAAACATACAAATGATGCAAGTCCTTGTTTTATAAACATTCCAGCAGGTACAAACGGGGGATCACTCTTTCGCAATACATGGAAACAGTCAACCTGAAAGCAACATCAAAGACTAATTAGGATTTAGGAATACGGGATAGAGGATGAAAGTTGTGGTATTTAAATATTTATTAAGAGTTTATATTAGTTTACCAGAGTTTCCAAATAAAATTCTGGAACATAGCTGAAAACAATATCCATTTTGCTAAGAACAAGAAGCAATTGGACAATCCATATACATGCTGCATACATCCCTCTTTGTTTCCATCTAGCAAAAAGAGAAATCCGATACCTACAGTTTGTAAAAACAGTTAGATTCAGTAAAAAAAAATGGCAAGATTTACAAACAATCTAACTTACCAAGCACAATGGCGAACACAATCTATAACTTCTTCACGATAAACACTTCTGGCCTCCTTCAACCTTCTTAACTGCTCACCACTACCTCGATCTCTAATCTGTCTATCAGTTTCTTCTAACTGTGATATTGAATGTGACTGATGCGTCATGTAAGCAGATGCCTGTTTAAAATTTGGTGCGAGACCTAAGTGATACAACAGAAGCATGGCGTCCAGAAGTTCTTCTTCTACTAATGTTGAAGAAGATGAAGTGCTTTCTAACGCTACAACTCTCATTTGCTGAACTGGACGATTGTAAAACTCGGAATCTGATTGGTCGCTTGTGCTAGGTTTATCCGCCATGTCATCATTCAAGTTTCCCGCGCTACATTCTGCAGCCACCTGTGCAGATCTCTCTGGAATCGAGCTGCAATGGCTCTGAGAAGCTTTCGTTGTGTATCTGAACGGAGTTTTTGAAATTCGTGAGAAGTTCACATCCAAACTTAAGCAACAACATGGCTTCCGGTTTCCTATATGTGTTACTCTGCTTTCTTCACTTTCTTCATCGTCGATGCATCCTTCCTCCCACCTAACCACTTCTGATTCTGGATCCACGTTTACAGGATGAGCATTTGAAAGATGACTGTAGGACCCACCAAGCCTCGGGATCTCAACTCTATGGGGATCGTTTTTGAGAATCAGAGGAAGGGGGAAACTCTGTTGACCACCTCTATGAAGAAACCCTAGATTTGACGCTTTACTAGTTCCAGATCCCATCATCCAACCACATCCTCTTGTCGCAAATCCTTCTGATAAAAAATGAAGTATAACTGTAAACAGAGAAACAAGAACCGAATTGCTTGAGACTCCGGGAGGTGGTATATTCCGATCTGCTCCTCTGTTTCTCAAAATAATATTCTGTAAAAATGTTCTGAAAACTGATCCAGGTAACTGTGGAGGTGTTACGGGAGGAATGAACTGCATGACTAAGCTACAAAGGTCCCTATGTTTCTCCTCGATCTGCAAAAGGTAAAAGCAAAAAAGTCAAACAGTTTCCTTTCTTTACTTTTTCTGAAACTATGTCATGTCAAATCAAACTTTTTCTGTAACTATGTCATGTCAAATCACCAGACCTAAACAAAATATAGCTGTAGACAGAGAGAATCAAACCTTATCAATTGCTTCGGTTAACGTTCTAGTGGTCAACATCATGCTGCTTTCGTAAGAAATGTCTTCCCACGAACCAGGCCACCATACAGAAGGTATCATGCATTGAAGATCTTGTTTGTTGGGACTTCTTTGAGATAGAAATCCTTCAAATAAAAACTCAAAATCCGACATCTTCCACCAAACCACCATCAATTCTTCACGTCTTAACATATGGCATGCCAATGCGAGATATAGATACGAACCTGAATATGGACTCTCTCTTAACACAATAGATGCAGTCTTACAGTAATACGATAGTGCAGAAATGAGATGTTGAAACAACAATGTTGACCCTGGGAACTTGAGCAAGGTATCAAGTACTCTATCCAAGCTTTCATAGTCATGAGGTGCTTGATCATGGAAAACCTCCATCAGAAAAGATAACAGAGGGCCCCAACTTATGTATTCTACACTTTCTGGATTCGAATCAAGAGCATTGAAGAACTCCATGCATATTCCATGAGAAACAGGTTCATAAAGCTTCTCAACAGGCAGAAATCTCTTTAACTTATGACTGGTTCTCTCACCCCTCCACATATTCAACAACTTTGAAAAGCAATGAAGCAAACGAATCGCTAACTGGTTTGTTGAAGGTGGAGCTTGAATCGGTTGGAATCCTTCAACAGAATGCCTAAAAGGGCGGGCCCCGAAGTTTAAATCACACCTTTCACCTTGAGATAAAGAAATTGCAGGATAATACCCTAAACCAGGAACCCTTTTTCTTATTCCAGTAAATGCAACACCAAGTGAAACACCATTTCTATAATATGAAATATCATCATTTTCTAAATCTATGCAGCATCCAATAACATCACCAACTACCCATGACTGACCATAAGGTTCAGCGTTCAAGTTCCATTTAATTACCCTTTTGCCATCGAAAGCATATGAATCTTCTGCATCTCCTACACCTGTGTGTTCTGTGAAAGGGCAGGAAACAGTTGCCCATCCAAGTTGCTGTAATCCAGAAGTTTCTAGAGTTACTTCATACATCCATTTCCCTTTCCATACACATGAACTTGCTCTTGCACTTGTGAATACTCCATGGCTTTCGATCAACAATGGTGGTTTTATAACTTGAAATTCACCACATACACTTGATTCTTCAATTTTGACAACATAAGGTCCAGAACAACTGTCAACAATGGCATACACTCCTTCTGTAGAAGTATCAAGTAACATTCCATGATGCTTCAAGTAATCGCTCTTTATGATGGAAGAAATTACATCAGCATCAACATGAGAAGTTACAAGATTGATTGTTTTGAATGGAAGTTCAAATATGTGTTCAAGAGTTCGTTCAAGTGATTGTTCACCAAAATCATCACAGTAAGAAATAAGCCGGTTTTTTTGACAGGTATCTTTCCTGTTTTCACCATCCAATATTACAGCTAACCCAGAAGCAAGACGATTTTTGCGTTTGCTTTCATCAGCCATTGATGAAACAAGAATAAAAAAGGTCACTCCCTTGCAAAGTGACTCCTTAATTACCACCCATCAAATAAGAACGGAAATTCCAAACCTAAGGTACCAATTTCACCCTGAAAATTTAAAGAAGGTAATCAACAAATAGAAGCCAAAATTTATAGAACTTATATTGGTATATTAATTAGGGGATTTGGGAAACTGGAATTGAGATTGAGATTAAGTGTATTGCTTAAATTCAAATCACGGACAACTAAAAATGGAGTTTGCTAACATACCTTTCACTAGATTAGCGGTTTTCCTTTTAGATAATAAGCACCTAACAACGCTAGAACTTTCGATCAACTGATATTCAACATCTTTGCACGGATTTCCATCGAAACTGAAACAAATAAACAAACCAACAATCACTTACTCCTTTCGTATTGGGGAAAAATACGAGAAACGCACAACAACTTCAAACTTATCTATCATCCTACAATAAACCCAAAATCAAACCACTTACGAATCATAAAGCCGTAGATACCATCATCGTCATGTACCAAAGAGAACGCAGCAAATTCAAAAGTAATAAACTACAGACTCCATTTTTTTCAGTCGAAGAGGAGAAAAATTAGGGTTTGGATTAGTAGGATTTGACCTGTGCCAGAATTTGGGAGGAAAGGAAAGGAAGAGGAAGTCAGGAAGGGAGAAAGGGAGAAAGGAAAACAAAAGAAGCTGCTTCTGGTGCGTGACGCAGGCTGACTGAAATGAAATGTAAATGCAACCCTATTTGATTATTTACCGACACGTGGCGGTTTCATTGACCGATCGGGCGGCGGCTTCATCCACAGTTCCGCTTGGTTACTAGCCACCAGTAGGCTCCTTGGCCTAAAATAATTTGGTTTTCAATAATATATTAGATTTAGCATATTATCTTTTGTTTTTTTTTTCGATTAATTTTACAATATTCGGCTATGCTACCATGTGTGATAAATGGGTAAGTTTTTAAAGATTGAAAATTTATACAATTAAATTTGGACAAAATAGACCGATCAATAAGAAGATAAAATTTTGACCATTTTATTAAAGTGGGTTGAGTAGCCAATCAATGTTTTTTTTATTCCTTATGCCAAATTACTCTTCTTTTTTTTTGGAAGGGGAACTTTTCGGACCAACTTTCATGTACCGACTAATCATCCGCTACAAATATGAGGTTTTGACTCATGTCATGGAGTCACTGCAGGCGAACATTCATGACCACAAGGGTTGAATAGTGTCATAATTTGAACATGAATCATGTGACATCCCCATTTTTACGGCCAGAAAAGACCGATTTTTGTTTATGCTTTATAAAAATCAAAGTACTTCTTTTAATAAAAATGTTGCGGAATTTGTTCCCAGAAAAACATGATAAATACGTTATCAAAGCATTTCCGAACAAATGTATTTTTATTCATTTAAAACATTTGGGATGTCATCGTCAATACAGAAACATAAGCATAAATAGAACTTACATTCATTTACACTAGTGATCTACATCTCTTTTAAATCTCTCAGTGCAAAGTAGCTTCGTATCGACACCTGTGATACAAATAAGCTGGAGTGGGTCAGGTTGGGATACCTGGTGAGTACATAGGGTTTTCAACCCACAATAATATAATTATTATATTTAAACATCAAACAATCAACCCGATTACCCATCCCCGTTATCTTCTTTAATATTCCTTAAAGAATTATCTTAAGGGTCATCTCCTATATCATATTTACCTCTCATCTTTCTACCTCACATTTCCTTATATGCTCGTTCCTAAGGCATGAATACGTAGTTACAACGTCGCCTGAACTCGTAATTCATAGTAAGGGTTAGAGTATCATCGCATGAATATACAGTCACCACATCACCTGGACTCGTAATTCATCACCTACAGGTTATAAGTCTGTTGGTGTTTCCACGGGTTGTCTAGAATATTCCGTGGTCGCCATCTATACTCTAGTAGATGACTACATCTCCAAATTGTCGGACAAGGTTATAGTATCTTTCATCCTACATCACTGATTCATCATCACCTATCCATCACCTAATTAACATCACCTTCCTATCATCACCTATCTCTCATCATTTTATTTCATCACACACCAACTATTTCATCTACCCATGTTTTATCCCAACGTATTTGTAGATATAAAATAAATATATATTTAAATCATTTAAAACATGTATAAAATCATTCATCCATCATAGACAGCAAGTATTCAGATAATATGCACACATAGCACGTAATTTATATAAAATACTTCATATCTATGTGTAAGATGAAAGGGACCATGCACTCACCTGTTAAAGTGATGATTCCAAACTTAGACAGCGCTTCGTTACTCTTAAAACAATTTCCTTCGACAAAACCTAGTATCAATACCACTAGGGTTTAGTCTAACGTTAACCGCAACTAATTAATAGTCTAACTATTATTATTATTATTATTATTATTATTATATAAGCGTTAAACAACACTCTTATATAACTCATAATAATATCCCAAATAATTGTTTTAAGGTCCTAATAATGTTACTATAATTAATTAGAAGTTATATTAAAAATAGCGTAGGCGTAGCTCACTTACAGCGAGTTTTTATTAAAAATCAGGCTTCGCTGGAGCAGCGTTTCCGAGCCGAAAGCTTTTCTTCTCGGAGCCGTCGGGCGCTCCGGGGCTTTCTTCTCGTGCTAGGGAGGTTCCCTAGACTTGGGAGGGGTTTAGGGAGGTTAGAGAGAAGTTAGAGAGAGAAAGAAAGGTTTGAAGGTGTGAGGAAATTATGAAGAGTTCATCTCTTATTTATAGGAATTGTATAGTAAAGTAGTCTCCAAGCTTCGTCCGTAACTTTCGCATACGAGCTCCGTTTTTGTCTGTCTTTTTACCGTTGAGTTCCTATTAATGAGATCTTCAACTCTCATTTAGACCTCGTTGGCTAATTTTCATTCTATCTCGGATTTACAAAACTGTATCGAATTCGCCGCGCTCGAAAAGTAGAGACTAAGTTTCGTCCATAACTTTCGCATACGAGCTCTGTTTTTGTCTGTCTTTTTACCGTTGAGTTCCTATTAATGAGATTTTCAACTCTCATTTAGACCTCGTTGGCTAATTCTCATTCTATCTCGGATTTACAAAACTTTATCGAATTCGCCGCGCTCGAAAAGTAGAGACTAAGCTTCGTCCATAACTTTCGCATACGAGCTCCGTTTTTGTCTGTCTTTTTACCGTTGAGTTCCTATTAATGAGATCTTCAACTCTCATTTAGATCGCATAAGCCAAAAACCGCTCGAACTATAATTCGAGTTTCGGGCTGTACACTGCTAAGCCGAAACTTCGAAAAATCATAACTTCCTCATACGAAGTCAGATTTGGGCGTTCTTCTTATGGACGCTCTCGGTTTAACGTTTTCTACGACTTTTGTTTAGATCACTAAGGCTAAAAGTCGCTCCATCGTAAATTCATTATTTACGCTTCCCGGTGTCGTGCCGGTTTTGCCGTAAAACTTCGACGGGCCATAACTTCTTCGTTATAACTCGGATTTCGGAGTTCTTTATATATACGGAAACCTTGATAAATATTCTACAACTTGGTTAAGATTATTTATTATAAATAATCTTTTGCCGAAAATTCGTTTTCGACACTCATTGCCTCTAAATTGACTAGCCCGGATCTACGGGCGTTACACTTATCTCCCCCTTAGGATGATTACGTCCCGGAATCATCAACGAAACAGGGTTGTATAATGACTCCATACGTTATCTCTTCATCCTAGGTATTAATCGTAACTTCTATGTTCTTTCAAATGTGTATCTAACTGTTGGTCTTCTTGACTGCAAGCGGTGCTCGAACTTGCACCTGCTCGTTAGACTCCAAACTATGACATTCGAGTCACAATCTCGATCCTTGATGGAGACTCCTTCTTCTTCTTAGAAAGCTTAAGATAAGCTCCTCTGTTACTACAACGTACCGATGTGTCATATTCTAATGACCTCTCATCGTGTGCTTAAACTCAAATATCTTAGAGTTAAATTCCAGAACAGACTATACCTTCCTTCATGTTCTAATGTGACATAATCACATCTTAAAGCTTAGTATCTCTAGCTACAAGCCTTTTTAGTGACAATCGCGATACTTCTATTGATCGCTTTGATTTCAATCTTTTGGTTTAAGTCGGACGCTACATCAAACTTGGTTCTCTGAACCACGTAACCTACTTATCGTAGTCGAACTCAATTTGATATGACCACTAGGGTCGGAATAACAATCATCTTCGATGGTAACGACATACTCGAATAAAACGAAATCAATTACTAGCTTCTTGGTAACCTTGTGACTTTCCCTGATCTAAGCGTGAGTCCTGTGCTTCCGGTAGTATAGGCCTCTACTACCATTCACACCTACTCATACTCGTCCCAAGTATTGTCTCGCAGCTTTCCAAGTTACTATCATAAAAACAATTTAACACATAAAAATGTGTCCAAACAATCATAAAATTTCCCATAGACTCTACTATGACTTCTTCCATGCGTATCTTTAATCATCAATTCTGCTTCAACTCGGTTGGTGATGGAAATGTCAGACGATGGGATAACTTCATGGATTATACAAAAAATCTTTCTTTCTGCTAATCGAAAGTGTACTTCTCCCGTACTAGACGTATTATTTCTTAGACGCGTTCTAAAGGCAAGCTATCTTTCTTACGATATCTTTTGATAGGTACCACTCAGTATCGTAAGCCTTCTCATTTCCTCCATTTACTCAATTCACTACGAGTCTTCACCATGATGTTTTGCACACCAAAGCAGTCGTTTGGTGTATCGAGACGAGAATATAGATAGAGGAAGGTTTATACGCGTATTCCTCCATATTACTTCAAAAAAAAATTATATGCCAGTTCTAATATCGTAATTAAACGTTTAGAAATATGAACACATAAAATTTCCAGATCCGGTCGGCAACAGACCATAGATCCGATCAAACGATAGCATAAAGCATCAAAAATTATTAAGCACATAAAAGCAATTTAGACATCTTCCCTAAATGAGCTAGTGCCCGTGTCTATTCAGGTGTACTTGCTAAAATATATTAGACACACTCCTCACGATCATCGCTTAGAATTCTAAGTTTAAGTCTAGAAATAAGTCCTTATTCCTAGTTCGCTTAAACTAATGCTCTGATACCAACTGTGACATCCTCATTTTCACGGCCAGAAAAGACCGATTTTTGTTTATGCTTTATAAAAACCAGAGTACTTCTTTTAATAAAAATGTTGCGGAATTTGTTCCCAGAAAAACATGATAAATACGTTATCAAAGCATTTCCGAAGAAATGTATTTTTATTCATTTAAAACATTTGAGATGTCATCGTCAATACAGAAACATAAGCATAAACAGAACTTACATTCATTTACACTAGTGATCTACATTTCTTTTAAATCTCTCACTGCAAAGTAGCTTCGTATCGACACCTGTGATACAAATAAGCTGGAGTGGGTCAGGTTGGGATACCTGGTGAGTACATAGGGTTTTCAACCCACAATAATATAATTATTATATTTAAACATCAAACAATCAACCCGATTACCCATCCCCGCTATCTTCTTTAATATTCCGTAAAGAATTATCTTAAGGGTCATCTCCTATATCATATTTACCTCTCATCTTTCTACCTCACATTTCCTTATATGCTCGTTCCTAAGGCATGAATACGTAGTTACAACGT